AAGGAATATGTGAAATATAAAAAGACAAGTTCAGAAGAAACTAGTAGAGGATTACATTTGGAAAGGGAAGGGAAAAGAAAGCGGTATTTACAACATAAAAAAATTAAAGAGGGACCTGCAGGTAGCGTGGTGGCTAAGGACACACTGGACTCCCACATGACTGACCACGGTTCAAGTCTCAGACTTGAGAGATTGCTTTCTCACTTTCCCTCTCTCTCTCTCTGTATCTCTCTGGTCAAATTAAAATAAATAAATAAATAAATAAATAAATAGTTAAATAATTAAATAAAATAATTCTTTTAAAAAAATAAGGACCTAATGTTACACAACTGACAAGTTATATCCAAAGATATCAAAATAATAATTTCTGAAAATTTGAAGGTATTAAATGAAGAAGAGCTAACTAGAAAACTAGGGTTTGCTTCTCAGTCCATCGAAAGGCTGTTCTGATAGCATGTGTCTGTAATCTCAGTGACCCAGATTATTGCAAACTCAAGGCTGACCTGGGCAACATAAGATACTTTCTAAAAATTAGGGTAATATGGCTTACATGGCAGCTTACCTCTAAGTCCAGCTGGGAGAATGAGGCATCAGAATTGTGTCAAAGAGACTAATATCTAGAAAAGTAATTAAATGAAATGAGAGTAAAAGCATACTTTCTTACTAGATATTCAGTTTTAATATTTTATTCACTTATACTTTGGTATAAATGTATAAGCATAAGATGTTTTATGATATCTATTAACACATCAGTAACAATATTTTGTATAAAGAGTGGAAAATTTGAAAGAGACAGGTAGAACTAAAATTTTAATTGTTTTCATTAAAATTAGCTTTTCATGGAAATTTATTGACTTCAGATTTAAAAAATCATACAAACAGCACAGTGCCTATTGCTTTGCATTGATCTAAGAAACTGTCAAGTATTCTATTTATACTACACTAAACCATCAAATATATATATAAATAAAATAAAGGGTCTTTTCTTTGTCAGATGCATAATACTTTTTCTACCATGTTTTAAGTAAATCTGCTAATATATTTTTAGATTTTTCTGTGAGATTTATTTAAGCAGAATTTCTAAATCAATAGAGCAAAGGAAGTTTCTCACTGAGAAACAAAATTATGTAAGCAGTGTTATTGTTTCTTTCTTTTGCCAAACGTTTCATCTTAAAAATTATTATAATTATCAGTCTTATTAAAATTTAACAAAAGTGAATAACCATTTCATATATACTAATAAGTTTCCATGGGAAGATATTGCATTCTATGAATTTTCCATTGATTTTTTAACATTGACAATTCAAAGACTAACCAAATTTCTGATGTTTCTTTGCATTTAAGAAAAAAGCCATGTCTGAAGTTTGTTAGAGGGAAAAAGGGGAAGACAAAAAAAAAAAATCTCTCTCTAGGGACCAGCAGTTAGCGTAATGGCTATGTCGCTGGACTCCCACGTAGTCTACCGGGGTTCGAGTCCCAGACCCGATGGCTTAAACTCACGCCAGGCACGTGTGCATGCTTGCCCAAGATCCCAAGAGGAGAATGGGGGAGAAGGGATTGCGGCGTGGCCATCCCCCCTGGGGGATGATTTCTCACTTTCTGTCTCTCTGTCTCTCTCTGTCTGTCTGGCGAGCACATGCCCCCTATAGCAAAAACCTCTCAAAAAACAAAAAATCTCTCTCTAAGGCTGATTGATAATAATAATTTTTAAAAGTAAAATGCTTGCTCAAACTTACATGATGATTGGAATGATGATTGAAATGTTTAATTTGTTCATCAGAAATGTTTCAAGAAAGAATAATACTTGCTTTCATCTTTAGGTGAAAAATGGTTCTTGAATAATGAGAAAAGGCCATAGGAAAACATCAATGTCTTTAAATCATTTCTTGTTAAAGTACTTTTAATGCCTTTTAGTATCTTTTTAAAAAATCTGTCTCTGTTCATGGGTTTTTGCAGGAGAGCCTAAGGAATGACCAAAATCTGAGACTAATATCTAATGTACACAGCTAAATTCAAACTTAAAATTATTTTAAAAAGTTGATGTAAAACTTAAGAAATTTCTTTCTTTGTGAAAAGATATTATCAAGGAATGACTAGGTAAGGTACATACACATAAGTGTTAAGCACTCAATTTATCCAAATAAAATTGGATTTGAATAGTCCTTAATTAGGATTGAGTTACTGATACCTTTCTTATCATTTGCTTCCACTTTTAAAGAAAATATATTTATTTTTGGAAAGCTTAAAAATGCTAAAGTAGCACAAATAATCCTGAAAATTAAAAAGGAAACTTCAAATTCTACCACTCTAAAAGTTTGTTTGTTTTAGTTTTTGCTACAGGGCACATGCACCAAAGAGTATGAGAAAGTAAGAAATCACACCTCCACCCACCCACCCACTCAGGGAGGATGGCTATGCCACAGTCCCTTCTCCTCTATTTATCTCTCAGGATTTGAGCACATGCATGCACACACACACACACTTCTTCCAACTTTTGGATCCAGGACTCAAACCTCACAGCTGGCCGTGTGTAATCTAGCTGCTTTCTAGCTGCTTTAACACCTTGTCACCTGGATGGCTTAAAAGCTATCTTTATATATATATATATATATAGAGAGAGAGAGAGAGAGAGAGAGAGAGACAGAGAGAGAGAGAGAGAGAGAGATTTTTGCTATAGGGTATATGTGGTTGCCAGAGAGAGAGAGAGAGACAAAGCAAGTAATTGGCCTCCAGAGGGGAAGCCCATGCCACAATCCTTTCTTCTTCAGTCTCCTCTCAGAATTTTGGGCATGCACACATTTGCACCTGATGTGAGTTTTAAGCTACTAGGTCTGGGATTCGAACTGTGGTCAACTCTGTGAGAGTCCAGTGACATAACCATTACGCCATCTGCTGACCCCAAAGCTATCATTTTTAACATTAGCTAAACACCATCCTATACATCTCTCAGTGCAACAAATCAATGCAGCTCTATGCAAAAATACACATAGAAATTTAGATGCATGGATAGTTGGGTGGATAAATAGATGGAAATGACTTATGAAATGAGAATCATAGTACAGAGTGCTAAAAGGTAAAAGCTTAGACAAGTTTAACAGAATTATTTAAAAATGCCTACCTATTGTTTTTATAAATAAATAGCATTTTAGGTTGGATGTCCAAATGAGTAAATAAATAAATGAAATCTTGAATGGTTATAGAATTCTTTAGTTGTAGCCGTGTTAACTGGATTGTGTAGACACTGTTTCATTACCTTTTGCACTGAATGTTGTAAATGTCTGCAGCTAATGTAATGTTTTCCCTTATTAGATGCCATTTTAGGGGGAGAGTTTTCAGGGATGTAAGACTGGATAGTCCATGAGTAGACTAGACCATGTCTTTGCAATGATTATTCTGTATCAAACTCACATATTCTTTTAATGTTCATATTTCATTCTTAATTTCAGAGAATTATAGTATATATTTAAAATGTGTCTTCTTTTGCCCTTATTGAGTCTGTAGTTCATGGACATGAATTATCTTTTTGTTTTATTCTTTGGCTTCCATATCTACTTGTTTTGTACCTAATCATTTTATTCCTTCCATTTAAAAAAATCAGCATCCACTATATATAAACCTCAGTGTCTTACTCAGTATTGACTTAAGTCAATTCTATTTTGTTTCTACTCTTTCTAATTTATGTCTTATTATGTAATGGTGGAATTTTCTCCCTCAAATTTTGTTCTTAAGCCTTGATAGCCATTTTAATCTCATGTAAGTGTTTGATCCTGTCTTTAGCTCATCTTTACAGAATTTACATACTGAATTTTTTAATTGCTTTTTGCCATGGGACACATATGCTTGATGGTGAGAGACTGAGAGAATAAAAGTGGGAAATCATCTCCCAGTGGGATGGCCATGCCAAAATCCATTCTCCTCCATTTTTCTCTTAGGATTTTGGGCATGCACTCACATGCTCCCAGCATGATTTTCAATCCACCAGGTTCAGGGCTTGAACCATGGTCAGCCATGTGGGAATCCAATACTTTAACCTCCACACCACTTAGTAGCCCCACTAAGTTGTATTTTATGAAATGAACTAATTTTAAGAAATTTCTTTATGTTCTATGAGTAATGTTTATTTTATGTTGGATTCTTAGTCTCTGTTTCTTTGACCATGTTGGGATTTCTATAGAGAAGTTTTATATGCTCTGATGGTGTAAGGGTGACATTTTCACACTTTTTCCACTGTATCTAAGACTAGTTAGTTTTTCTTTCAAGACTGCAGTTTGAGCTGCAAACATGATCCTTCACTCGTCTCTCTGTGTCTTTCTAGTAATCTTGCCTGCTAGTTTTTGAAAGATATTGTATTATGCTAGCCTATTCCTAACTTGGATATTGTTGACAATTTTTTTCCATTAATATTATCATTTGTGGGGCATTTTATTAGCTATTATTGAAGAAAATTTTAAAGGTATGAAGATATGTTAGCCAGAAGTTCCTATTTAATATTTAAAGTGTTGTAGTTAGGTTAAGTGATAATTCAAACACCATGTATTTTTAATAACCATTGTAGTTTTGAGACAATAATGCTACATAAACAATAGCATTTAAAAAATATCCCACCTTTTAAATAATGTTTTTCATTAATTTTAGAAATTTTTTCATATTGTATTGGGAGGGTATATAACCATGAACTCCTTAACTGACTTTTGGAAAATTTCAGTACACTAGATAAATTTACATCAAATACATGAATTTCATAGAGACAATTTAAGATATTTTTGACTAATTCATGAAAATATAAGCAATTTATTAACATTGTGAAATGAGGTAAGTTTTGTAATATGGGCAAGACACAAGCATGTGTGTTTAAAACTTTATAAATTATTCATTTCAACATTGGTTATTATAACCTATTATAATAAGTTTTTAAGTCCTTGTGCTTTGGTCTATTTGTTACTATCCCACTGCCAAAATAAATCGATAGTTTATATTTTTCTTTTAAAAACTAGAGGTTTAACTTTGCGCAGTGGCAGTATCGTAGCCAATGAAGTTTATCCGAGGCACGATTATTGCTAATTGAAAAAAACTAGAGGTTAAAACTCATATACCATGTACTTACAAATGTTTTATAATTAGGAGTGTCCAGAGTTATCTAGCTCTTTTGTTGTAACTTTTAATTTTGCATTTAAAAAATCATATTTATACTTCATATCTTTCATTCTTAACTAATAAATGTTCCACAGATGGGTGCATTTTTGTAAATAGGTTCAGAAGTTTAAATAGCTAAATTAGTATCCTTGGAATATGGTGACATACTGTAGAAAAATAAATAAGTATTGCACTTATTACCATGATAAAAGACTGCATAATAACTTATATGTATTTAAAAAAAAAAAAAAACTATATAGAAACTCTTAAGCTATTGACAACAAACTCAGAGACCACCTAAAATTTTTTTCCTTCAGGGACAAAAATAAAATTGCATTTTGGCTTCATTAAACATTTTGAAATAAGAAGAAGAGCGTCCTCTTATGTCTGTACCATCAGTGATAACTTTTTAATATAATGTCTCTTAAGGGTAGGGGCGAGGAAGATCCATAAGCATATTCTACTTTATAAAGTCCTCCTCCTTATAAAAGAAAAGAAAGAAAGAGAAAGAAAGAAAGACAACAGCACAAAAAACCTGTAGCCTTCAATGCTAACTGCATGCTGTAACTGTGTAGTTTGTGAAAAACTAGATAGCTGATTTAGCTGGAAATGAATTAATGCCGTCCTTATCTCACATTAATTTTGTTACAAGGAGAAAAGAAAACGTTGGAGTGTGGAATAATGAGTTACTTCTTTAGACTCAATGGACTAAAAATGCCAGAAATGGAAACCATGTCACCTTTGTGACTGGACTACTAAATGATGAGTCATGAGTACTGTTCAGCAGCAAAACTGTCCCCAGTGCAGGTTTGATCAATTTGACCAGTTTGGCATTTAATTTTATACCTGACATAATGTATACTTGGCATTGTATGAATTTTGAGCCTGGATTTTTTTTCATAGATCTCTTATTCATTAGTGTCTGTAATTTACCCATGGGTAAACATCTAATCTTTCATACAATCATGACAAACCAAAGCAGAACAAATCATGATATATCTTTGTACAATAATATTTGACAGAAATTGCCTGAAGTAAATATAAAGAAAATGCATTTGGGAAAAAAGCAATTAACTGATGTTATAATTGTATGAAAATTTTATAACTTGTATTGTTTTCAACAGATTTTAAAGCCTGATATTTGATAATCCAATTTTAACGTAAATGAGTAGTTTCACTCAATTTATTTACAAAGCATTGAATATTTTTAATTCCATGATAATTTTTACCATTCTAAGTTAGAAAAAGAGCAGTTTTTGTTATTGGAAAAAATATGAGATCTAAAATGTTATACAGATACATAAGCATGTGAGTAATGAGAAAAACAACTAAAATTTTAAAACTCTTAATATTTGGATTAGAAGATGTAATCGTATAGGGCACTCTTTGTCATATGTAGCTCTGTAAAGGATATAGCACTGTTTTCTGGTCTGAGAATATGCTCAGCCTTTGTCGATTTGAGATCTGCTTCAAATATTTTTGTTTAGTGGTAACTGAAGAAGTATTTTTCAACAGACTTGAAGAAACACAGCCTAAAAATGATGTAAGAATGATTAAAATCACATAAGGAATGTACTTTTTATAATTTATTATACATGAATACACATAATCTCTACATTATAAACATTATGGCTCTGATGTTTACTTCCAATATCTCAGTACAAAGAAAGCACTGCAATCCTTAACAATGTTTGTGCACAAAGGGAATTTTCTTTGACAGTGTTCTGTGCTCATCTTTGATCAGTCATCCTACTTCTTCATTTCATATTGCCTGCTCATTTCTTACTCTGTTCATTTTGCATTTATCTATATACTCTTTCCTATCAAGACATATTCTCAGGGTTTTCTGTCTTTGGTGATTAAAGACTTCATATGCATAGTCTCCAACAATTGCCTCTCTACCAAACTGTTTCCTTCCATTGGATGAAATGTGCAGCTCTCTGGCCAAAGCTTCCAGTTCCATGCGCATTCCTCTATTTCGTTTACATCTTGGCAGGTTCAAGAGTTCAGCTTTTGGAACTGTACTGGTTGGTGCAGAAAACTGGTGCAGAGAACTGATGAACCTGTAAGGAACTGCCTTAATCTGAGCAAAGGGTTTGAACATTTGGCAATAGAGAAAAGTTATTGTCTGCCAGTGCCAATGAAGATTTAGAGTTTGAAATGCCAGATTTTATCTACTGCATATCTAAGTCTGAACTCCATTTTTTGTAGTTCTGAAAGCAGGGCATGTATTTCTCTCTCTGGATTTGCTGCCTTGCCTTTCTGACTTGGGCCTGACCACCACTCCTACCCTCTATCTAGCACCTTCATCCTTATGCTTTCTGAACATTGTAGTTGAAGACCTCAGGACCTTTCCCAGCTTTGTCTTCATTTCTCCTTCTGGACAGGGATATTCATGAGGAGCCTATGGACTCTCATTTAATCTCACCCAGAGAACCTACTTCCTGTACCCTGATTCTCCATCCTAGCTTCTCACTCTCCTTGTCTTTGCCTAGGACCTAGACCCAGCCCTGGCAGCTTTCTTCAGGAAACAAACTGCTTCCAAACTTATTTCTACATGAAAGACCTTCCTCCATGCCCCTGGTCTTTTTCTGTGTTGCGTTATATACAGTTCCTTTATGAAAGCTCAAATACTCTGTTTTACTTTTTTATGCCTAAATGTTAGCAGATATAAACTAAAATATCTGTAGCCATGGTAATCATGGACCAGGCTTTTTAAAGACAACAAGAGTTCTAACTTTAAATACATGTAAATAGCAAAATTACCTCCATTTACAGTGTCTTCTTGGTGTTCCATGTCCACTATCCATATGAAGGTTTACCAGAACAGGAAATTTATGATCCATAAAATTAATTTCAACACTTTAGTAAAAAAATAATAGCATCTATAATTTCTAGTTGTAAATCTTTATATTATTATGTTATTTAAAATGTATAATACTAAAAATGTATCTCTTGATATGATTTTTATTCTTTATTTTGCATCAATATTAAACAAAATAATTTTGCCACAGAAATTAGATGCTAACAGATTTTGCTCTCAGAAGAGACTGCAGGACAATAGAAGATGATTACGCTGTAACTCATAGACTTACTTGTATTGCCGAATATTAAAGTATTGGAGTAGTAACAATTCTAGAATGATTATGCTGTTGAATAACACAACAAGAAACCAATTATTTAGGACCATTTCCTTAGATAGTAGAATGACAGCTTTTTTTCTTGGAATGAGAAATTTAAGAGAAAAAATGGGTACCAATTATTAACAAAATTAAGGGTGAGCTCATTGGTATTTATTGAATAACTACTATAGGCCAATAATTTTCAAACTTTTTGGACTCAGAAATGATTTATGACCTCAAATAATTTTCATTTATATGTATAGTATCTATGAATAGAAATAAACTGAGAAAAATTTTTAAATGTTTATGGCTCATTTAAAAAATAATAAAGTTGTAGTAAAATAATAGCATTCATATATTTTATTTGCATATATATTTTTTCCAAGGTAAAAAAAAATGAGAATAGTATTGTTCTGAATTTTGCAGATAACTGTAGTGCTTGGGTATATGGATGACAGTTGAGTTTCTTCATCTATGTCTACATTCAATATCTTGTAATATGTTGTTTTAGTTATGTATAAGAAGAAAATTAAGCCTCAGAGATGTAGGTAGTTCTAAAAGAGAGGATTCTTTTAATATTATTTGCAAAACTGTGGCTATTTGGTGCTACCTTAAAACTCAACAGGTGGTAGTTTCTTCAATGTTAGTTACAATGTGCAATCAGAAGTCGTATCAATATACATTGCAAATCCATTACATTAGAATCCATTGCTGTGGGCCAACCAATTGCATGGTAATTAAGGCAGCTAGATCCTACTGGCTGAATTTGGGTTTGAGTACTAAACTTGCCAGCTTGAAAATCTCACTGGACGTGTGTGCGTGCATGCCCAAAATTCCTAGAGGAGAAAGGAGAAGAGACTGCAGAGTGGCCATTGTCCCAGGGCGGGGTGGGGTGATTTCTTATTTTTCTCTCTCTGACTCTGTCTAGTAAGCACATGTTTTCCCATAGGAATACATGTGCTTACTGTATCTTGTACCTCAAATGGATCTTTTATTCTCATTTTTTAGATTATGAATCTGACTCCAGTACAGTGAATTCCTGGACTCTATATTCTACGTGGTCTGGGTTTGCTCCATCCCTACCACTTACCATCTGTCTGATGAAAATAATCTATGTACTTTTCAGTATTCAAGTCATGCAAATATATGAACAAATGTATAGTATTTAATTTTCAAAGGCCCATAGCAAAATTAACTCCCCTCAGTTTCAAAATTGCAAGCTACTTCTGTTGGATAGAGCCCCATCTTAAGTGACCATACATAATTTTTAGATTTTTAAACACATGAGTTGGAGAAAGGTGTGCCATTTTCAGGCACAATCTTGAAGGAAAAAGTATGACTTTTCTGCCTCTCTCTCCAATCTACTGTGTGGAACTCAGTTTCCTCTTGGACAGGGAAAGGATGGAAGTCATGTGATTGGGATGGAGGAACAGTGGACCCACTGAACTGAGAGAAAAATGGAAGACTTCTTTTTTGTTTAACCTACTTTTACTTATTTATTTTTTAGAGAGATTTTACTACAGGGTGTATGTACTCGCCAGAGATACAGAGAGAGAAGGAGAGACAAAGAGCAAGAAATCACCCTCCCAGTGGGGATAGCCATGCTGCAATCCCTTCTCCTTCCATCTACTTTCAGGATTTGGAGCATGCATGCACTCATGCCAAGCATAAGTTTTAAGCCGCCAGGTCCAGGACTCAAACCTCGATCAACTACGTGAGAATCCAGCAACATAACCATTATGCTATCTTCTGAACCCAACCTACTGTTATTTAAGATCTATGTTATATATCTGCTAATTAATCTCTAGTTAGTATAAGTGAATAATTAACTGTATAAAAATAGCATCTTCCTTGCTCAGGTACTGGCCAGTTCACTTCTTT